TCACGCTGCTTAGTGTAAAGGACGTCACGCTGCTTAGTGTAAAGGACGTCACGCTGCTTAGTGTAAATGACATCACGCTGCTTAGTGTAAATGACATCACGCTGCTTGGTGTAAAGGACGTCACGCTGCTTGGTGTAAAGGACGTCACGCTGCTTGGTGTAAAGGACTTCACGCTGCTTGGTGTAAAGGACCTTCAATGGCGCAAGGGGTGACACTTCAGGCTGAGGAGTGAGATTCACAGAGCTGGAGTAGCAGGACAAATTAATTACAAACACTCAGCCCTCCAAGACTCAAGTCCGTCAAGATGTTCCATGATATACTTTAGAACAGAAAGAGGACAGCATTCCGGTAAATAAACTTAAATTGACTCTTGCCCCAGCAGGCCTTAATGAGAAATTATATTTTTCTTCTAGTTACGTTATAAATAGGACAAACATTTTGGTCATGTCATAATGTATTTGCATTGTGTGCATCTTTATTTGATTGTCATGTTTCCCCCACAGCGCCCTCTGCTGGGATCTCTTGATTGGGCCAATACTGACTGGGAATGCATCATGTTGCCCACCTGTGAGGTCTTCTTGTTGTGACATTGATTGCCATTGCTTTGCACGTTGAAGAAGTGCTCATACCCCAAACGTTCGTGAGGCAATACAAAATGTCCATGTAAATTGATTTACTGCAGTGCTGTACTATTTCTGTTCTTTGGGATTATATACACGAGGAATCCAGCACCCGATTTAAAGTTTCTATAAGGTGGAGTGGAGCACATTGTTTTATCTGTTCATGGTATACGTAGAGACCACTAAAAACACTCAGGCTTCCCTGGTCAGAAGTAACTCTATATAGAGGGCGCCCTTTGGGACGCCTTCCAAGACTTTGCTTCCCTGGTCAGAAGTAACTCTATATAGAGGGCGCCCTTTGGGACGCCTTCCAAGACTTGCGTTAAATATTACAGTCTGAGTCTGAACGTGTTTTGGAAATGTATCGGTTAGACAAAACATTAAGAACACCTTTCCATGACATAGACTGACCAGGTGAAAAGCTGTGATCCCTTATTGATGTCACTTGTTAAATCCACTTCAAATCAGTGTAGATGAAGGGGGAGGAGACAGGTTAAAGAAGGATTTTTAAGCCTCGAGACAATTGACACACGGATTGTGTATGTGTGCCATTCAGAGGGTGAATGGGCAAGACAAAATATTTAAGTGCCTTTGAACGGGGTATGGTAGTAGGTGCCAGGCGCACTACTACAACACTGCTGGGTTTTTCACACTCCCAACAGTTTCCCGTGTGTATCAACAATGGTCCACCACCCAAAGGACATCCAGCCAACTTGACACAACTGTGGGAAGCATTGGAGCCAACATGGGCCAGCATGCCTGTGGAATGCTTTCGACACCTTGTAGAGTCCATGCCCAGACGAATTGAGGCTGTTCTGAGGGCAAAAGGGGGTGGTGCAACTCAATATTAGGAAGGTGTTCCTAACGTTTGGTATACTCGGTGTATGTTGCTTCAGAAGGTTGAGAAAAGTTCCACTCTCTGTAGAAGTAATGTGTCCAGGAGGTTTCCACGTCCTACTGTGTCCTGCTTGTAAGCAGTTCTGTAGTTCAGCCACACCCGTTTGGAATCCTAGTCTTTCCCTCTGCTGTTTGGAACATTCAGTGTGAACTCTAGAACTTCCCAAATCTGTCCCAAATAGCATTCTAGTCCATATATAGTGCACTACTTTTGACCAGAGCCAATTGGCACCACCTCTGTAGCTCAGCTGGTAGAGCACGGTGCTTGTAACGCCAGGGTAGTGGGTTCGATCCCCGGGACCACCCATAAATGTATGCATGCATGACTGTAAGTCGCTTTGGATAAAAGCGTCTGCTAAATGGCATTATTATTTATTTATTATTAATAAGCCCTTGTCAAAAGTAATGCACTACATAGTGAATAGGGTGTTATTTGGGACGGTGTGATAACATCCTGGCTGTATGAAGCGCTGGGTTACAGAGGCCTGGTTGGCCCAAGCTGGGACAAAGAGAGGAAAGGTGGTGCATCCTCCCCAGTGAAGGAGATGCAGTGGGAACACCAGGTCAGTTCTGATTGATACACACCCAGAATACTGATGTCAACTGCCTATGACTCAACACTGAGTCAGTCAACATAGGTGACACGCACACACTTACAGAGAGAAAGGCCGGGATTCTATGCAAGGCTCGTCATAACACTGCACACTATACCAGACGTTTAAAGACAATGTAAAAGGAGCTATATATATATATATATATATATACAGTGGGGAGAACAAGTATTTGATACACTGCCGATTTTGCAGGTTTTCCTACTTACAAAGCATGTAGAGGTCTGTAATTTTTATCATAGGTACACTTCAACTGTGAGAGACGGAATCTAAAACAAAAATCCAGAAAATCACATTGTATGATTTTAAAGTATTTAATTTGCATTTTATTGCATGACATAAGTATTTGATCACCTACCAACCAGTAAGAATTCCGGCTCTCACAGACCTGTTAGTTTTTCTTTAAGAAGCCCTCCTGTTCTCCACTCATTACCTGTATTAACTGCACCTGTTTGAACTCGTTACCTGTATAAAAGACACCTGTCCACACACTCAATCAAACAGACTCCAACCTCTCCACAATGGCCAAGACCAGAGAGATGTGTAAGGACATCAGGGATACAATTGTAGACCTGCACAAGGCTGGGATGGGCTACAGGACAATAGGCAAGCAGCTTGGTGAGAAGGCAACAACTGTTGGCGCAATTATTAGAAAATGGAAGAAGTTTAAGATGACGGTCAATCAACCTCGTGGGGCATCAATGATCATGAGGAAGGTGAGGGATCAGCCCAGAACTACACGGCAGGACCTGGTCAATGACCTGAAGAGAGCTGGGACCACAGTCTCAAAAAAAACCATTAGTAACACACTACGCCGTCATGGATTAAAATCCTGCAGCGCACGCAAGGTCCCCCTGCTCAAGCCAGCGCATGTCCAAGCCCGTCTGAAGTTTGCCAATGACCATCTGGATGGTCCAGAGGAGGAATGGGAGAAGGTCATGTGGTCTGATGAGACAAAAATAGAGCTTTTTGGTCTAAACTCCACTCGCTGTGTTTGGAGGAAGAAGAAGGATGAGTACAACCCCAAGAACACCATCCCAACCGTGAAGAATGGAGGTGGAAACATCATTCTTTGGGGATGCTTTTCTGCAAAGGGGACAGGACGACTGCACCGTATTGAGGGGAGGATGGATGGGGCCATGTATCGCGAGATCTTGGCCAACAACCTCCTTCCCTCAGTAAGAGCATTGAAGATGGGTCGTGGCTGGGTCTTCCAGCATGACAACGACCCGAAACACACAGCCAGGGCAACTAAGGAGTGGCTCCGTAAGAAGCATCTCAAGGTCCTGGAGTGGCCTAGCCAGTCTCCAGACCTGAACCCAATAGAAAATCTTTGGGGTGAGCTGAAAGTCTGTATTGCCCAGCGACAGCCCCAAAACCTGAAGGATCTGGAGAAGGTCTGTATGGAGGAGTGGGCCAAAATCCCTGCTGCAGTGTGTGCAAACCTGGTCAAGACCTACAGGAAACGTATGATCTCTGTAATTGCAAACAAAGGTTTCTGTACCAAATATTAAGTTCTGCTTTTCTGATGTATCAAATACTTATGTCATGCAATAAAATGCAAATTAATTACTTAAAAATCATACAATGTGATTTTCTGGATTTTTGTTTTTTGGAGTTTAGATTCCGTCTCTCACAGTTGAAGTGTACCTATGATAAAAAATACAGACCTCTACATGCTTTGTAAGTAGGAAAACCTGCAAAATCGGCAGTGTATCAAATACTTGTTCTCCCCACTGTATATATATATATATAGAAGTGTTGCATTGTAATTTCAGAAAATGTCCATAATATATCTGCAGTAATAGTGGAATGATAGTGTTTCACAATATAGAAAAAATATACAAAATACAAATACATTCTAAAATGCTAACTTTCTATTTGACAACAAAACCCAGAACTGCCTTTGTTGTCAAGATGGGAACACCACACCATCACTGTCTTCCATCGGCGTCTCTAGGAGGCGTGGTCATCTCCTCCTCCAGCACAACAAACAATGGCAGAACATAGAAATCGCTGTGTCATTTCCTGGTTGCTAAAATTCTACACTCTTCGCTCAATTTCAGTTTATGTGAGAAAACAAGCACTGTATAGTGTAGGGAATCATTGTACCATCTAAATCCCTGTGAAATATTTTCAATGACAAAAACTATCGTTTTTACGGCTGTTTGAAGTTGGTGGACGAAACTGAAAGTAAAATAGTAACCTCTCCACCGATGTTATAGGGAAATGTGATGCGGGACGATACATATTATTGACAATTGCAAATGTGACATTTGTATGACATTGTCATGTGGACTAAGTTTAAATAAAGATGATGCACTGAACATTTTAAAAACATGACAGGCACAGAAAACAGTGAACAGATTCCAGGTGGAGCAACAAGAGGTTGGAGAGAACAATGTTTCTGTAGATTGGTGTTTCCCAAACTCGGTCCCGGGGCCCCGCCTGGGTGCACGTTTTGGTTTTTGCCCTAGCACTACACAGCTGATTAAAATAACCAACTAATCATCAAGCTTTGAGTATTTGAATCAGCTGTGTAATGCTAGGGCAAAAACCAAAACGTGCACCCAAGGCGGGGCCCCGGGACCGAGTTTGGGAAACACTGCTGTAGAACAACAGACCATTGGGTTAATAATATAATATAATATATATAATAATAATATATAATATGCCATTTTTGTGTATGGGTGGTCCCGGGGAGGTTAAGGCATCGCTAGTGAGTGTGTGGGTGCATATGCATGTCTGTGTCTCCCTCTGTGTGTTGGTGTGTGTGTATAAGTGTGTGTGCGCGTGTGTATATAGTTGTGGCCAAATATATATTTAAAACAAATTTTGGTCAACACACCTTGTTATTTTCAACATTGCAGAACCCATTTTATTTTTGTAAACTTGAGCTTACAATTTTTATTTCGAAAAAAAAAAAAAAAAAGACAAATGGCATGTGTGTGTCTACCTGGGACCCCACTTGATGTTGCTGAGGCCCTGAACTGTCTCTTCAAGGCCTGTCTGTCTGACCATTCTGAGTGGAGGTGACTGTCGTCCTCCACCTCGTCCAGCATCTGTCAAAACCACAGACACAATACACTAAGGTTTACGGTAGTGTACTCACATAAAACCACAGACACAATACACAAAGGTTTACGGTAGCGTACTCACATAAAACCACAGACACAATAAACTAAGGTGTACGGTAGTGTACTCACATAAAACCACAGACACAATACACTAAGGTGTACGGTAGCGTACTCACATAAAACCACAGACACAATACACTAAGGTTTACGGTAGTGTACTCACATAAAACCACAGACACAACACACTAAGGTTTACGGTAGTGTACTCACATAAAACCACAGACACAATACACTAAGGTTTACGGTAGTGTACTCACATAAAACCACAGACACAACACACTAAGGTTTACGGTAGTGTACTCACATAAAACCACAGACACAATACACTAAGGTTTACGGTAGTGTACTCACATAAAACCACAGACACAATACACTAAGGTTTACGGTAGTGTACTCACATAAAACCACAGACACAACACTAAGGTTTACGGTAGTGTACTCACATAAAACCACAGACACAACACACTAAGGTTTACGGTAGTGTACTCACATAAACCACAGACACAATACACTAAGGTTTACGGTAGTGTACTCACATAAAACCACAGACACAACACACTAAGGTTTACGGTAGTGTACTCACATAAAACCACAGACACAACACACTAAGGTTTACGGTAGTGTACTCACATAAAACCACAGACACAACACACTAAGGTTTACGGTAGTGTACTCACATAAAACCACAGACACAACACACTAAGGTTTACGGTAGTGTACTCACATAAAACCACAGAACAACACACTAAGGTTTACGGTAGTGTACTCACATAAAACCACAGACACAACACACTAAGGTTTACGGTAGTGTACTCACATAAAACCACAGACACAACACACTAAGGTTTACGGTAGTGTACTCACATAAACCACAGACACAACACACTAAGGTTTTACGGTAGTGTACTCACATAAAACCACAGACACAACACACTAAGGTTTTACGGTAGTGTACTCACATAAAACCACAGACACAACACACTAAGGTTTACGGTAGTGTACTCACATAAAACCACAGACACAACACACTAAGGTTTACGGTAGTGTACTCACATAAAACCACAGACACAACACACTAAGGTTACGGTAGTGTACTCACATAAAACCACAGACACAACACACTAAGGTTTACGGTAGTGTACTCACATAAAACCACAGACACAATACACTAAGGTTTACGGTAGTGTACTCACATAAAACCACAGACACAATACACTAAGGTTTACGGTAGTGTACTCACATAAAACCACAGACAACACACTAAGGTTTACGGTAGTGTACTCACATAAAACCACAGACACAACACACTAAGGTTTACGGTAGTGTACTCACATAAAACCACAGACACAACACACTAAGGTTTACGGTAGTGTACTCACATAAAACCACAGACACAATACACTAAGGTTTACGGTACTGTACTCACATAAAACCACAGACACAATACACTAAGGTTTACGGTAGTGTACTCAAATAAAACAACAGACAACACACTAAGGTATACGGTACTGTACTCACATAAAACCACAGACACAATACACTAAGGTTTACGGTAGTGTACTCACAGAAAACCACAGACAACACACTAAGGGTTACGTAGCCCCAACATCAGACACACCTAAGGGTTACGGTATGTACTCTCATAAAGCAGATTATTCAGGTGAGGTGGGAATAGGGTTGCACAATTCTGATAACAAATTCCCTGTTTTCCACAAATCCTGGTTTGATTTTGTGGAAAGTTACCGGAATTTTGCAACCCTAGTTGGGAATATAAACTATGGCATGTGTTTTATAGAAATGACAGGGAGACTGTATAGACTGTTTAATGTATATTCACTGTAGGACAGGGAGACTGTTTATAATGGGATACGTAGATGAGTGTGTTTATAAGGGGTAGTTAGATGTGTGTGTTTATAAGGGGGTAAGTAGATGAGTGTGTTTATAAGGGGGTACGTAGATGAGTGTGTTTATAATGGGGGTACGTAGATGAGTGTGTTTATAAGGGGGTACGTAGATGAGTGTGTTTATATGGGGTACGTAGATGAGTGTGTTTATAAGGGGGTAGGTAGATGAGTGTGTTTATAAGGGGGTAGATGAGTTGTTCAATGGGGTAGAGAGTGTTTATATGGGTTAGGGGAGTGTGTGTGTTTTATGGGGTAAGTAGTGGTTTGTTATATGGTGTTGAGTGTGGTGGTGTATAGGGGGTCGTGTGTGTGTTATCGGGTCGTGTGTGTGTTTTAGGGGTGTCGATGGTGTGTTTTGGTGTGTATGACGTGGTGTTTTGGGGTACGTGATGGTGTGTTTATAGGGGTAGTAGTGATGTGTGTTTATAAGGGGTAGTGATGAGTGTGTGTTTGGGGGTGTGATGAGTGTGTTTGGGGGTAGGTAGATGGTGTGTTTGTGTGTGTAGGGTGTGATGAGTGTGTTTTGGGGTAGTATGTGAGTGTGTTTATAGTGGGTGTGTGTGTGTTTTAGGGGTGTAGTGGGTTGGGTGTGTATGGTGTGGTGTGTTTTGTGTGTAGTGTGTTGTGGGTGTCGTTGGTGTGTTAGTGTGGTGTGTGTGTGTTTCTGGGGTCGTGTGGTGTGTTTTCTGGTCGTGGTGTGTGTTTTAGGGGGTCGTGTGTGTGTGTTTTGGTGGGTGTGTGTGTGTTGGTGTCGTGGGTGTGTCGTGTGGTGTGTTTGAGTGGTGTCGTTGGTGTGTTTTGGGGCGTGTGAGTGTGTTTAGGGGTTCGTGTGTGTGTTGGGGGTACGTAATGAGTGTGTTTATAGGGTCGTGATGAGTGTGTCTATGGGGAGTACGTGTGTGTTTTAGGGGTACGTAGTGGTGTGTGTTTGGGGTACGTAGATGAGTGTGTTTATAAGGGGGTCTGATGGTGTGTGATTGTTAGGGGTCGTAGATGAGTGTGTTTATAGGGGTACGTGATAGTGTGTTATAGGGTACGTAGTGAGTGTTTTATGGTACTGTGAGTGTGTTATAGGGGTCGTAGATGAGTGTTATAAGGGGTACGTAGATAGTGTGTTTATAGGGGGTAGTGATGGTGGTGGTGTGTTTATAGGGGTACGTAGATGATGTGTTTAGGTCTTTGGGTATAGGGGTACGTAGATGATGTGTTTTAGGTGTATGTTTGTAGTGTGTGTTTTGGGGTGTAGTGTGTTATGGGTCCCTACTTGAGTGTTTAGTGTCTTAGTGGTGTCTTCTATGTGTGTGTGTGTGAGAGTGTGTGTGGTGTGGTGTGTGTGTGTGTGTGGAGTGTGTGTGTGTGTGTGAGAGAGAGTGTGTGTGTGTGTCCCACCTTGAGTTCCTGTTGTCTCTTGTAGAGGTGCATCATCATCTGTTTCTGTTGCTCCTCTGTGACCACAGGTTCTCTGGCTGGCGCCCCCTGGCCCCTCTGACAGGAACACATGGTCAAACATCAGCATGACCTACAACATTATATCCATTATCCATCTAGGACTATCTAGAACTATCTATCTAGGCATCAGCATGACCTACAACATTATATCCATTACCCATCTAGAACATCTAGGACTATCTATCTAGGCATCAGCATGACCTACAACATTATATCCATTACCCATCTAGGACTATCTAGAACTATCTATCTAGGCATCAGCATGACCTACAACATTATATCCATTATCCATCTAGAACATCTAGAACTATCTATCTAGGCTTCGATCAAGGGCTCGGCCTACTTCGAACTGAAAAGTGTGAACTATTGCTTCCTAAAGTGGTTTCCTCTCCTCACCTCATCTTATTGGCTTTGTCTGATGTGATCTGAACTATCACTTTAGACTATTGATATGAGAAACCACTTTAGACTATTGATATGAGAAACCACTTTAGACTATTGATATGAGAAACCACTTTAGACTATTGATATGAGAAACCACTTTAGACTATTGATATGAGAAACCACTTTAGACTATTGATATGAGAAACCACTTTAGACTATTGATATGAGAAACCACTTTAGACTATTGATATGAGAAACCACTTTAGACTATTGATATGAGAAACCACTTTAGACTATTGATATGAGAAACCACTTTAGACTATTGATATGAGAAACCACTTTAGACTATTGATATGAGAAACCACTTTAGACTATTGAGATGAGAAACCACTTTAGACTATTGATATGAGAAACCACTTTAGACTATTTGATATGAGAAACCACTTTAGACTATTGAGATGTACCCTCTGTTTCTATTTTCAAGATGTGGAGGCGTAGCTCAGTCACACCCGAGAACGCTTGATAAAGTGGCTCACGCTCTGCTCACGCTGGCAAAAAGTTACGCGTCCAGCGTAGCAGGTAAAAACCTAATGTTTTCCAGATTCCCCAGTCAGTAATACACCAGTGTAATGCTCCCCAGTCAGTAATTACCACCAGTGTAGCTCCCCAGTCAGTAATACACCAGTGTAATCTCCCCAGTCAGTAATACACCAAGTGTAAGCTCCCCAGTCAGTAATACACCAGTGGTAACCCCCAGTCAGTGATACACCAGTGTAGCCTCCCCCAGTCAGTAATAGCACCAGTGTAGCCCCCATCAAACGCCAGTGGTAGCTCCCCGTCAGTAATACACCAGTGGTAGCTCCCCAGTCAGTCATACACCAGTGTAGCGTCCCCAGTCAGTCAGTAATACAGCACAGTGTAGCTCCCCAGTCAGTAATACACCAGTGTAGCTCCCCAGTCAGTAATACACAGTGTAGCTCCCCAGTCAGTGATTACACCAGTGTAGCTCCCCCCGTCAGTAATACACCAGTGTAGCTCCCCAGTCAGTAATACACCAGTGTAACTCCCCAGTCAGTATACACCAGTGTAGCTCCCCAGTCAGTGATACACCAGTGTAGCTCCCCCAGTCAAGTAATACACCAGGTGTAGCTCCCCAGTCAGTATACACCAGTGTACTCCCCCCCAGTCAGTAATACACCAGTTGTAGCTCCCCAGTCAGTAATACACACAGTGTAACTCCCCAGTCAGTGAATCCACCAGTTGTAGCTCCCCAGTCAGTAATACAACCAGTGTAGCTCCCCAGTCAGTGATACACCAGTGTAGCTCCCCAGTCAGTATACACCAGTGTAGCTCCCCAGTCAGTGATACACCAGTGTAGCTCCCCCAGTCAGTAATACACCAGTGTAGCTCCCCAGTCAGTAATACACCAGTGTAGCTCCCCAGTCAGTAATACACCAGTGTAGCTCCCCAGTCAGTAATACACCAGTGTAGCTCCCCAGTCAGTGATACACCAGTGTAGCTCCCCAGTCAGTAATACACCAGTGTAGCTCCCCAGTCAGTAATACACCAGTGTAGCTCCCCAGTCAGTAATACACCAGTGTAGCTCCCCAGTCAGTAATACACCAGTGTAGCTCCCCAGTCAGTGATACACCAGTGTAGCTCCCTAGTCAGTAATACACCAGTGTAGCTCCCCAGTCAGTAATACACCAGTGTAGCTCCCCAGTCAGTGATACACCAGTGTAGCTCCCTAGTCAGTAATACACCAGTGTAGCTCCCCAGTCAGTAATACACCAGTGTAGCTCCCCAGTCAGTAATACACCAGTGTAGCTCCCCAGTCAGTAATACACCAGTGTAGCTCCCCAGTCAGTAATACACCAGTGTAGCTCCCCAGTCAGTAAGGCACCAGTGTAGCTCCCCAGTCAGTAATACACCAGTGTAGCTCCCCAGTCAGTAATACACCAGTGTAGCTCCCCAGTCAGTGATACACCAGTGTAGCTCCCCAGTCAGTAATACACCAGTGTAGCTCCCCAGTCAGTAATACACCAGTGTAGCTCCCCAGTCAGTGATACACCAGTGTAGCTCCCCAGTCAGTAATACACCAGTGTAGCTCCCCAGTCAGTAATACACCAGTGTAGCTCCCCAGTCAGTAATACACCAGTGTAGCTCCCCAGTCAGTAATACACCAGTGTAGCTCCCCAGTCAGTGATACACCAGTGTAGCTCCCCAGTCAGTAATACACCAGTGTAGCTCCCCAGTCAGTAATACACCAGTGTAGCTCCCCAGTCAGTAATCCAATCCAATCCAATCCAATTTTGCACCACTACCGCTCACTTTACGACCTCAAGGCATGCCCGGCCCAGCATGCATTTGTAGTCTACTTGTGTGCTGCTACAGCCCTTTGCTTTAGCTACTGTCATGGAGTTCAATAAATATATTCATAAAGAAACTGATAAAACACACAAGAGCTGAATTAAGGTGACTTCCAAAGATGAGGACCAAGAGCAAGAGAGGGAGTGTGGTGATGTAGTGTCCACAACTAAAGAATCACTGTGGAATCTGAAAAGACACGCATCCTGAAAGCATGATGGTGTACTTACCACGTGCACATGCTACTTTCTTCCCTCACTGTAAGTGTCATTGTAGCAAAGTATTTATAAACAAAAAATCAGATCTCTTAAAAGTTTTGTTCATTTTCATTCTATTATCTATACAATAGGCTATCATTGATTTTGGCCCATATTCCCACTTTCAAGGACCTTTCCATTTGATTGGGTTATTTTGCCTCAATCTGTTTGCCTACCTATAGATTTTATTTTTTTTAAACGACGCATCCTGCTCAGCCTGGCAAGAGTGGCCTGAAGGGTGTTTAGCATCCCCAGTTGCTCTGCAAGAGCGGAGAGGATATTCTCCGCCGCTGGCCGGCTCTCCAGGCACCATGGAGAGGATATTCTCCGCTGCAGGGCTGCTCTCCAGGCACCATGGAGAGGATATTCTCCGCCGCTGGCCGGCTCTCCAGGCACCATGGAGAGGATATTCTCCGCCGCTGGCCGGCTCTCCAGGCACCATGGAGAGGATATTCTCCGCCGCTGGCCGGCTCTCCAGGCACCATCGCATGAAGCCTGAAGCCACAGACTCTGGCCAAACTGGTGTTTCTAAAAATTCTAAAGGCACTGTAGACTGAGCCTAATAAGGCATTTTGATTAATTTGTATTTAATTCTAAGTAAGCCACAGCCTATATGCACAATGTATAGACTATAACGATTTAATACAATGAAATGTTGTTTAACTGCTGAGCGCTTTATGTTCCAACCAGCCTATTGTGTTGCACTCGCAAACGCTTCACAATGTATTTCTTTGTAGGCTATAGCCTTGAAATCATTGAAATAATAGGCTAATAATATAGCCTAAATAATTCATTTGTGTTCCTTCTTAGGCTCCCTGTCTGTCTCCTGACCTATTCAGAGAGTTTATATGCTGTTTAATAGGACATGTAGCCTGTTTGAAATGATGTGCGCTTCTTACAGTCACCTTTTCCTGTTGTTTATTCAAATACGTTTCATTCAAATCGTATCGTTTGGTTTCAATACTTCAAAACAAACAAATGGTAGGTCCAGGTAGTCACAAATATAGATGGGTGTTGGCTAAATTGTGATTTTAATGGAATGGAGCGGATTTGGAGCGGCAATAGTTTTTTTCCTGTGAGTGCAGAGCGGTATTTAGCAGAGAGGTTGGAAAGGACGTGGAGTGCCGGAGCGGTGCGCAAGAACCGCTCCATAAGCGACGAGCTGGATTTCCAACCGTTCTCATTACTCCGACTCAAACACAGACATTCTTTCAAATGCCCGCCCCTACTGGCTAGTTGTGGTGTAGCTCCACCCCCACCTTTCATTTATTTGTTGACTTTCGGTCTTGTTTTGGTCCCCCCTTCTGTTTTCCGATGTTGTTTCTTGTGTGTTTTCTTCCCTCTCTGCATCTCCTTAGCAGCCCACCACAGCTGAGCCTCCTCCACTGGAATCACCTGGGAGATGCCTGGGAGAGAGGGAGATAGGGGAGAGGGAAGGGGATAGGGGGGAGGGAGATAGGGGAGGAGGGGGGAGAGGGGAATAGGGGAGGAGGGAGAGAGAGAGGGGGGGGAGATAGGGAGGAGGGAGAGAGAGATAGGGGAGGAGGGAGGGCAGAGCGATGGGGAGGAGGGAGAGAGGGTGGGGAGGAGGGGGAGGGAAAAGGGGAGGGGGAGAGAGATAGGGGAGGAGGGAGAGAGATAGGGGAGGAGGGAGAGAGTAGGGGGGGAAGGGAGAGCAGAGGATAGGGGAGAGGGGAGAGAGGTAGGGGAGGAGGGAGAGAGGAGGGGGAGGAGGGGATAGGGAGGAGGGAGAGGATTGGGGGGAGGGAGAGCGAGATGGGGAAGGGAGGAGATGGGGAGGAGGGAAAAGGAGGGGGAGGGGGATAGGGGGGAGGGAGAGAGTTTGGGGAGGGAGGGAGAAGGGGAGGGATGGGGAGGAGGGAGAGAGAGAGGGGAGGGGGAGAGGAGGGGAGGAGGGAGGAGATAGGGAGGAGGGGAAAGGGGGGGGGGGAGGGGGGAGAGGGGGGGAGGGGGATAGGGGGGGAGGGGAGAGAGGGGGAGGGGAGAGATGGGAAGGGGAGGGGATAGGGGAGGAGGGAAGTTGGGAGAGGGAGAGATAGGGGAGGAGGGAGGAGAGAGTAGGGGAGGAGGAGAAGGGGGGGAGGGGAGGAGAGTAGGGGAGGAGGGAGAAGATAGGCGGAGGGGAGCGAGCATGGGGAGAGGGAAGAGATGGGAGGAGGAGATTAGGAGAGGGGAGGAGGAGGAGGAGATAGGGGGGAGGGAGGGGAAAGGGGAGGGGGGAGGAGTAGGGGAGGAGGGGAGGGGGAGAGAGATAGGGAGGAGGGGAGAGAGATAAGGGGGGAGGGAGAGAGATAGGGGACGGAGGGAGAGAGATAGGGGAGGAGGGAGAGAGAGGATGGGGAGGAGGGAGGAGAGATAGGGGAGGAGGAGAGAGGAGGAGGAGGAGAGAGAGTAGGGAGGAGGAGGAGAGAGGGGGAGGAGGGAGATAGGGAGGAGGGAGAGAGATAGGGGAGGAGGGAGAGAGAGGGGAGGAGGGAGATAGGGGAGGGGAGAGGAGAGAGGAGAGGGAGGAGGGAGGAGGGGAGAGGGAGAGAGATAGGGGAGGAGGGAGAGAGAGGGGAGGAGGAGGGGAGGAGGGAGGCAGGGAGAGAGATAGGGGAGGAGGGAGACAGAGCGATGGGGAAGAGGGAGAGAGATAGGGGAGGAGGGAGGAGAGAGAAGGGAGGAGGGAGATAGGGGAGGAGGGAGAGAGATAGGGGAGGGAGGGAGAGATAGGGGAGGAGGGAGATAGGGGAGGAGGGGAGAGAGGGGAGGAGGGAATAGGGGAGGAGGGAGAGAGATAGGGGAGGAGGAGAGGGAGATAGGGGAGGAGGGAGAGAGGGAGATAGGGGAGAGAGGAGATAGGGGAGGAGGGAGAGGGAGACAGGGAGGAGGGAGAGGGGAGGAGGGAGATAGGGGAGGGAGAGAGAGATAGGGGAGGAGGGAGGAGGGAGAGAGAGAGAGAGGGAGGAGGGAGATAGGGGAGGAGGGAGAGAGAGAGGGGGGGAGGAGGGAGATAGGGGAGGAGGGAGAGAGAGATAGGGGAGGAGGGAGAGAGAGATAGGGGAGGAGGGGAGAGAGAGAGATAGTGGAGGAGGGAGACAGAGAGAGAGAGAGAGAGAGAGCGAAGAGAGAGATCGGGGAGGAGGGAGAGAGCGGGAGAAAGAGAGAGCGCAAGAGAGAGAAAAAAGGGAAGGAGAAAGAGAAGGGAGGGAGAGAGAGAGAAGGCAAGGAGGAGGAGAGAGATACAGACAAATACAGGGGGAGACAGGCAGAGAAAGAGAGAGACAATTGGACAGAGAGAGGGAGAGTGGTCGGTGATCACTGATACTATCAACTGATGATCAGGGGTTTTCTACATCTGGATAACACACACCCAACTGGCGGCAAGCGGGCTAAGTTTCATTTGGCCCCCCAAGTATTCTGAGCAAAATAAAATAAATACAAATGTAATTTAATTGTTGAACATAAGACTGTAGAAACACCAGGAAATCAGCTCCAAATTATTTTAATTGAAGAAATCTGTTCCCAAGTATTCCCACACATAATAGAGAGATGTGATCGTATACTAATGTAAGTGTCACACCCTGGCTCTGGGACTCTATATGTTGAGCCAGGGTGTGTTTTTTTCTATGTGGTGTATTTCTGTTGGAGTTCTAGTTGTATTTCTATGTTGGCCCGAGTGACTTTCCCAATCAGAGGCAACGAGTGTCAGCTGTTGCTGGTTGTCTCTGATTGGGAGCCATATTTAAACTGTCTGTTTTTCCCTTTGTGTTATAATAATAATAATATGCCATTTAGCAGACGCTTTTATCCAAAGCGACTTACAGTCATGCGTGCATACATTTTTTTTTTTGTGTATGGGTGGTCCCGGCCGTTTCCAGTTGGTGTTTGTGGGTTCTGTTCCAGTTGGTTGTTGTACCGTGGTCTTCACGAGTCATTTTTGTTGATGTCCGTATTATCACTAAGATAAATAAACATGTTCGTTCATCACGCTGCGCCTTGGTCTATTCCATACGACGATCGTGACAGTAAGCAAGGTTTAAAATGATGTTTTAGTCTAACAATATACAGTGGGGGGAAAAAAAGTATTTAGTCAGCCCCCACAATTGTGCAAGTTCTCCCCACTAGAAAGATAGAGAGAGGCCTGTAATTTTCATCATAGGTACACGTCAACTATGACAGACCAAAATGAGAAAAAAAATTCCTGAAAATCACATTGTAGGATTTTTTATGAATTTATTGCAAACTTATGGTGGAAAAGAAGTATTTGGTCAATAACAAAAGCTTCTCAATACTTTGTTATATCACACTTTGTTGGCAAATGACACAGGTCAAACGTTTTCTGTAAGTCTTCACAAGGTTTTCACACACTGTTGCTGGTATTTTGGCCCATTCCTCCATGCAGATCTCCTCTAGAGCAGTGATGTTTTGGGGCTGTCGCTGGGCAACACGGACTTTCAACTCCCTCCAAAGATTTTCTATGGGGTTGAGATCTGGAGACTGGCTAGGCCACTCCAGGACCTTGAAATGCTTCTTACAAAGCCACTCCTTCGTTGCCCGGGCGGTTGTGTTTGGGATCATTGTCATGCTGAAAGACCCAGCCATGTTTCATCGTCAATGCCCTTGCTGATGGAACGAGGTTTTCACTCAAAATCTCACGATACATGGCCCCATTCATTCTTTCCTTTACACGGATCAGTCGTCCTGGTCCCTTTGCAGAAAAACAGCCCCAAAGCATGATGTTTCCACCCCCATGCTTCACAGTAGGTATGGTGTTCTTTGGATGCAACTCAGCATTCTTTGTCCTCCAAACACGACGAGTTGAGTTTTGACCAAAAAGTTATATTTTGGTTTCATCTGACCATATGACATTCTCCCAATCCTCTTCTGGATCATCCAAATGCACTCTAGCAAACTTCAGACGGGCCTGGACATGTACTGGCTTAAGCAGGGGGACACGTCTGGCACTGCAGGATTTGAGTCCCTGGCGGCGTAGTGTGTTACTGATGGTAGGCTTTGTTACTTTGGTCCCAGCTCTCTGCAGGTCATTCACGAGGTCCCCCCGTGTGGTTCTGGGATTTTTGCTCACCGTTCTTGTGATCATTTTGACCCCACGGGGTGAGATCTTGCGTGGAGCCCCAGATCGAGGGAGATTATCAGTGGTCTTGTATGTCTTCCATTTCCTAATAATTGCTCCCACAGTTGATTTCTTCAAACCAAGCTGCTTACCTATTGCAGATTCAGTCTTCCCAGCCTGGTGCAGGTCTACAATTTTGTTTCTGGTGTCCTTTGACAGCTCTTTGGTCTTGGCCATAGTGGAGTTTGGAGTGTGACTGTTTGAGGTTGTGGACAGGTGTCTTTTATACTGATAACAAGTTCAAACAGGTGCCATTAATACAGGTAACGAGTGGAGGACAGAGGAGCCTCTTAAAGAAGAAGTTACAGGTCTGTGAGAGCCAGAAATCTTGCTTGTTTGTAGGTGACCAAATACTTATTTTCCACCATAATTTGCAAATAAATTCATTAAAAATCCTAAAATGTGATTTTCTGGAAAGAAAATTCTCAATTTGTCTGTCATTGTTGACGTGTACCTATGATGAAAATTACAGGCCTCTCTCATCTTTTTAAGTGGGAGAACTTGCACAATTGGTGGCTGACTAAATACTTTTTTTCCCCACTGTATGTTTGGGCTTCTTGCTGTCAATTTGCAGTCTACAAATTATTTGTAATTATGTTCTGGCCTCCCGACCATCTTCCCGCGGTTGAATGTAGTTGATGATCCCTGACATAGACTGTAACATTAGGGAGGTGATCCCTGCCATAGACTGTAACATTAGGGAGGTGATCCCTGCCATAGACTGTAACATTAGGGAGGTGATCCCTGCCATTCACTGTAACATTAGGGAGGTGATCCCTGCCATAGACTGTAAACATTAGGGAGGGGGATCCCTGCCATAGACTGTAACATTAGGGAGGTGATCCCTGCCATAGACGGTAAAATAGGGGAGGTGATCCCTGCCATAGACTAACATTAGGGAGGTGATCCCTGCCATAGACTGTAACATTAGGGAGGTGATCCCTGCCCTAGACTGTAACATTAGGGAGGGGATCCCCGTCATAGACTGTAACATTAGGGAGGTGATCCCTGTCCATAAGACTGTAACATTTGGGAGTGATCCCTGGGCCCTAGACTGTAACATTAGGGAGGTGATCCCTGTCGTAGACTGTAACATTGGGAGGTGATCCCTGCCATAGACTGTAACATTAGGGAGGTGATCCCTGCCATAGACTGTAAATTAGGGAGGTGATCCCTGCCATAGGGCTGTAACATTAGGGGAGGTGATCCCTGCCAAGACTGTAAACATTAGGGAGGTGATCCCGCCATAGACTGTAAAAATTAGGGAGGTGATCCCTGCCCTAGACTGTAACATTAGGGAGGTGATCCCTGTCATAGACTGTAACATAGGGAGGTGATCCCTGCCATAGACTGTAACATTAGGGAGGTGATCCTGCCATAGACTGTAACATTAGGGAGGTGATCCCTGCAATAGACTGTAACATTAGGGAGGTGATCCCTGTCATAGACTGTAACATTAGGGAGGTGATCCCTGCCATAGACTAACATTAGGGAGGTGATCCCTGTCATAGACTGTAACATTAGGGAGGTGATCCCTGTCATAGACTGTAACATTAGGGAGGTGATCCCTACCATAGACTGTAACATTAGGGAGGTGATCCCTGCCATAGACTGTAACATTAGGGAGGTGATCCCTGTCATAGACTGTAACATTAGGGAGGTGATCCCTGTCATAGACTGTAACATTAGGGAGGTGATCCCTGCCATAGACTGTAACATTAGGGAGGTGATCCCTGCCATAGACTGTAACATTAGGGAGGTGATCCCTGCCATAGACTGTAACATTAGGGAGGTGATCCCTGTCATAGACTGTAACATTAGGGAGGTGATCCCTACCATAGACTGTAACATTAGGGAGGTGATCCCTGCCATAGACTGTATCATTAGGGAGGTGATCCCTGTCATAGACTGTAACATTAGGGAGGTGATCCCTGCCATAGACTGTAACATTAGGGAGGTGAAACCCATGTACAGACCCAGTCCACAGAATTAACCACAACTGAGGAAAATATTGAATGAATGAATAAATAAACAAATAACAGAATAAATGGAAGGATGGGGAAGCCCTCCGTTGGTAATGGAAGAGGACAGCTGTTTATCTAATGGAAGAGGACAGCTGTTTATCTAATGGAAGAGGACAGCTGTTTATCTAATGGAAGAGGACAGCTGTTTATCTAATGGAAGAGGACAGCTGTTTATCTAATGGAAGAGGACAGCTGTTTATCTAATGGAAGAGGACAGCTGTTTATCTAATGGAAGAGGACAGCTGTTTATCTAATGGAAGAGGACAGCTGTTTATCTAATGGCAGAGGACAGCTGTTTATCTAATGGAAGAGGACAGCTGTTTATCTAATGGAAGAGGACAGCTGTTTATCTAATGGAAGAGGACAGCTGTTTATCTAATGGAAGAGGACAGCTGTTTATCTCATGGAAGAGGACAGCTGTTTATCTCATGGAAGAGGACAGCTGTTTTATCTAATGGAAGAGGACAGCTGTTTATCTAATGGAAGAGGACAGCTGTTTATCTAATGGGAAGAGGACAGCTGTTTATTCTAATGGAAAGAGGACAGCTGTTTATCTAATGGAAGAGGACAGCTGTTTATCTAATGGAAGAGGACAGCTGTTTATCTAATGGAAGAGGACAGCTGTTTATCTAATGGAAGAGGACAGCTGTTTATCTAATGGAAGAGGACAGCTGTTTATCTAATGGAAGAGGACAGCTGTTTATCTCATGGAAGAGGGACAGCTGTTTATTCATGGAAGAGGACAGCTGTTTATCTAATGGAAGAGGACAGCTGTTTATCTAATGGAAGAGGACAGCTGTTTATCTAATGGAAGAGGACAGCTGTTTATCTAATGGAAGAGGACAGCTGTTTATCTCATGGAAGAGGACAGCGTTTATCTATGGAAGGGACAGCTGTTTATCTAATGGAAGAGGACAGCTGTTTATCTAATGGAAGAGGACAGCTGTTTATCTAATGGAAGAGGACAGCTGTTTATCTAATGGAAGAGGACAGCTGTTTATCTACCTGTGTTCCTGACAGGTCCTCCTGGTCCTCCAGCTCCATCCTGATTGGGTCGTGTGGCGGCAGACCCATTGGGTAGACGATCATCACCGCGCCCCTCAGCTGGTCCAGCGCCTCCTTCACCGTCTCCATGGTAACACACACACCAGCCACCACCTGTTTCTGAAGGGCACAAAAGGAGGGGAAATAAGAAAAGGCCTTTCTCTCAAAATGACACCCTATTCCCTTACCAGAGGCCTATTGGCCCAGGTCAAAAAGTAGTGCACCATATAAGGAATAGGGTGCCATTTGGGACTCATGTAAAACGTGTGCGGTGTGGTCCTCCAAGTGTAAATACATTAAGACTTCGTTTTTCATATTTGGTGTAGGCCTAGAGTGTGAAACGGTGTGAGAGTCTGTGTGTGTGTGTGTGTGTGATATTGAAATACTGTAGCTACCTTAGAGATGAGTGCCTTGGCCTCCTCCATGGTGTTCCTCAGCACCTCCTTCATCTTCTGGTTAGGAGCTGGAGGAGGAGGAGGGAGCACACTCAGGTTCAGGGTTGGGGTCAATTCCATTTCAGAAAGTAAACCAAATTCCAATTCCACATTTTCCTAATTGAAAAGCATGGAAGAGAATTGGAATTTCAATATACTTTCTGAATTGACTGGAATTTAAATGGAATTGACCCCAACCCTCTCAGGTCCACAACAATATAGCCAGGGGGACTCTTGCCAGTCTCTATAGGAGAGCTAAGACGCTGCACACAGAGAGCAGGCTCCAGATTGGTGGAGGTAGGAGCACACAGAACTATGTCGGTTAGAACATACATAAAAATGTATGCACGCATGACTGTAAATCGCTTTGGATAAAAGCGTCTGCTAAATGGCATATTATTATTATTATTATTAAATTGTCCTCTCTACTAAAGCCAATACATTGACCAACACCCTGGACACAGAGAGCAGGCTCCAAGCCCAGACCAAATTATAGTGGTCTTCAAATCAAAATGTTATTTGTCAAGTACACGGTTTACAGAAAAAATGCTTGTGCGCTAACTCCCTCTACATTACAGACATTACAAAATAACAAGTCCTAGAAGAGGTAGTATGTCTGGTAATACATGAGGTAGTATGTCTAGTACTAGAAGAGGTAGTATGTCTAGTAATAGAAGAGGTAGTATGTTTAGTAATAGAAGAGGTAGTATGTTTAGTAATAGAAGAGGTAGTATGTTTAGTAATAGAAGAGGTAGTATGTCTAGTAATAGAAGAGGTAGTATGTCTAGTAATAGAAGAGGTAGTATGTCTAGTAATAGAAGTGGTAGTATGTCTAGTAATAGAAGTGGTAGTATGTCTAGTAATAGAAGAGGTAGTATGTCTAGTAATAGAAGAGGTAGTATGTCTAGTAATAGAAGAGGTAGTATGTCTAGTAATAGAAGAGGTAGTATGTTAGTAATAGAAGTGGTTAGTATGTACTAGTAATAGAAGAGGTAGTATGTCTAGTAATAGAAGAGGTAGTATGTTTAGTAATAGAAGAGGTAGTATGTCTAGTAATAGAAGAGGTAGTATGTCTAGTAATAGAAGAGGTAGTATGTCTAGTAATAGAAGAGGTGGTATGTCTAGTAATAGAAGAGGTAGTATGTTTAGTAATAGAAGTGGTAGTATGTCTAGTAATAGAAGAGGTAGTATGTCTAGTAATAGAAGAGGTAGTATGTCTAGTAATAGAAGAGGTAGTATGTTTAGTAATAGAAGAGGTAGTATGTCTAGTAATAGAAGAGGTAGTATGTCTAGTAATAGAAGAGGTAGTATGCCAGTATTTTTCATCCTTTAGCTTGTTCTCCATCTTCTTTTTCAATAGTCAGCCAACATGTTTTCAGCACCTTTACTTCCATGACTGATCCAAACTAGTTTTCATGCTCTCTGTCTCTCTGCAGCAGACACTAGCTCCAGAGCCTAGTGAGAAATACGTTTGGAACATCGAATCACAATACAATTAGAATCGTGAGAATACATATCGTATTGGCACCTAAGTATCGTGATAATATTGTATCGCGAGGTCCCTGGCAATTCCCAGCCCTAGTGTGTTTATGTGTGGTTGTGTGTGTGTGTGTGTGTGTGTGTGGGTAAGGGTTGGATTTGTGGAGAGTCAGTGTAAATAGTCTGTCTCTTGAGTCTACTGGGTTGGAGCAAAGCCTGCACACCCAGTAGCTCTCCATCCCTATGTTAGACTACTGAGATACCATCTGCATCCCAAATGGCACCCTATTCCCATAGGGCTCTGGTCAAAAGTAGTGCACTAAATAGGGGATAGGGTGCCATTTGGGACTCAGTCCATCTCCGCTCCACACGACTCCACAGTGTTCTAGGGTGTATTCACTAGGACGCAAACGGAACTAAATAGAACCGAACAAATCAAATCAAATCAAATTTTATTGGTCACATGCGCCGAATACAACAGGTGCAGACATTACAGTGAAATGCTTACTTACAGCCCTTAACCAACAGTGCATTTATTTTAAACAAAAAAAGTAAGAATAAAACAACAACAAAAAAAGTGTTGAGAGAAAAAGAGCAGAAGTAAAATAAAGTGACAGTAGGGAGGCTATATATACAGTAAAATAAAGTGACAGTAGGGAGGCTATATATACAGGGGGGTACCGTTGCAGAGTCAATGTGCGGGGGCACCGGCTAGTTGAGGTAGTTGAGGTAATATGTACATGTGGGTAGAGTTAAAGTGACTATGCATAAATACTTAACAGAGTAGCAGCAGCGTAAAAAGGATGGGGTGGGGGGGCAGTGCAAATAGTCCGGGTAGCCATGATTAGCTGTTCAGGAGTCTTATGGCTTGGGGGTAGAAGCTGTTGAGAAGTCTTTTGGACCTAGACTTGGCACTCCGGTACCGCTTGCCGTGCGGTAGCAGAGAGAACAGTCTATGACTAGGGTGGCTGGAGTCTTTGACAATTTTGAGGGCCTTCCTCTGACACCGCCTGGTATAGAGGTCCTGAATGGCAGGGAGCTTTTCCCCAGTGATGTACTGGGCCGTACGCACTACCCTCTGTAGTGCCTTGCGGTCAGAGGCCAAGCAGTTGCCATACCAGGCGGTGATGCAACCAGTCAGGATGCTCTCGATGGTGCAGCTGTAGAATTTTTTGAGGATCTGAGGACCCATGCCAAATCTTTTTAGTCTCCTGAGGGGGAATAGGCTTTGTCGTGCCCTCTTCACGACTGTCTTGGTGTGTTTGGACCATGATAGTTCGTTGGTGATGTGGACACCAAGGAACTTGAAGCTCTCAACCTGTTCCACTACAGCCCCGTCGATGAACCGTTAACCGATTAACCGTTAATTGGTTAGCTGCCGAATATACATTTGACCGGTCATGCTTATCGGTCTATAGGTTAATTTGCATAATTTAGTGGAATTAAATTTGGCGCGTGTGTATTTCCGTTAGTCAGCATGTATCTGATTTATCTCATGCCACAGCATCCACAGCCTAGTTTGAGGAGAGGAATATCCTACCACCTGTCAGACAGCGCAATAGCAGCTCCTCAAAAAGCTGGTACGAGAATTAAATGTGCTTTTGTAAGCTCAGTCATTGCGCAACAATTAACAATTCTAAACGCAATCGCGTGTTTAAAAACTGTTTTGATGACCACTATTAAAAATGTCTTACCTTGCTTCAAAGCAGCCTTGCCAAAAATCTGACCATAGAAACGCGGAAGCAATTATTTTATAAACACTTCATGCCATTAACCAGCATTTCTCTTCTGTTCTATTGGTTTCCATATCAACTTTCTTTCTTTGTCCAGAAGACAAAGGCACAATCCTAGTCATATTAGCAACACATCCTCGTTGTTGCTATTAGATTCCCCCTCTTTAAAAGTTTTTTGAATGGACATTTTAATCTGTCACATATGGAACCGCTCACATTAGGTGCGCTGTTTAGAACTGTGTTTTCCCGCGAATTGCATTTTTATCAAATGTTTGAAAATGATGTTTTATTAGCTTCTTCATTACAGGAGTTGCATGTTCAATAACCGGCTATAGCCTTTTGACTGTAAGACGATAGGCCTGCCATTGTGGCATGTTTACATTCAGTTCTTAATGAAAAATGTCCAGTTCCTTGTTAGCTGAGGAACGCTCAACTCCGTTCTCTTATATCGAGGCGGAGTTGAATATTGATAACTGGTCACGCTATTTGCGATAAAACAACATGGAGTCACCATCTGTAAACACATGTAAAAATGTAAATACTGAAAATGCTCACCTGTACCTATGTTTGTGTCCTGTACAACTGCGGTCCTTCCGCGGGGGGTGCTGAAATTCATACTTTTAATAAAAACGTTTATTGAATACAACCATAGACATTTTCCTAATTTGTGTTGCTCAATTTAGCGCGGATGCGCTTGTCTCAATTTAATCTCCGCTTACGTAGTATGTCAAGGCGTCTATGTCTCCAGTTGAGCTACACAAATTAGTTAAAAGTCGGTGGTTGTATTCGATATGTTTTTATTAAAAGTATACATTTCAGCATCCTGTGGAAGGACCGCAGTTGTACAGGACAAACATGGGTACAGGTAAGCGTTTTCAGAATCTACATAGTATTCTGTGTTGTTCACGTCAATTCCCTATTATGATTATTTTTTTTTACCGTTTGTTGACCAGTTAATGAGGGTTAGTTAGTCGGAAGCAAAATTGACCGGAATGTGCATCCCTAAACAAAACAGAACTTAAGAGAACCATACGGAAGCAAACAGAAGCAAACGGAACAAAACGGGGAGGAATGTACATAAATTATCCAACAGACAATTGTGCTTTTTTATTTTATTATACATTTTAACGTTTTGGAGTAACCGTGTCTGACTAAGAATACACCTCTGGCCTCCCCGTGTCTGACTAAGAATACACCTCTGGACTCCCCGTGTCTGACTAAGAATTACACCTCGGACTCCCGTGCTGACTAAGAATACACCTCTGGACTCCCCGTGTCTGACTAAGAATACACCTCTGGACTCCCCGTGTCTGACTAAGAATACACCTCTGGACTCCCCGTGTCTGACTAAGAATACACCTCTGGACTCATCGTGTCCGACTAAGAATACACCTCTGGACTCACCGTGTCCGTTCCTCCTTCCAATCTCATCCTTGTTGAATTCAGGTCCTCCGCTTGGGACACACCTCTCCTCCCACTCGTCCTTTAGCTTCAGGTCAACAATCTGTTCATCCGTCAGACCCTGCATGTTGGGGGGCAGCGTCACCCCGTGGTCCACCAGCTCTGGGAACTCTGGGCGGAGGAGACAGGAGAATGGAACACAGACACGCTAACACGCACACAATCTTTCGGCCAGAGGAAGCTATGTGCGTCTTATGTAAGTGTAGAGCTAGCTAGTTAGCTGTACTGTGTATTACATAGAGTAGAGCTAGCTGTATTGTGTATAACTTACAGTGTAGAGTTAGCATCTTAGCTGTACTGTGTATTACATAGAGTAGAGCTAGCTAATTAGCTGTATCGTATTTAACATACAGTGTAGAGCTAGCTAGTTAGCTGTACTGTGTATAACATAGTGTAGAGCTAGCTAATTAGCTGTATCGTATTTAACATACAGTGTAGAGCTAGCTAGTTAGCTGTATTGTGTATAACATAGTGTAGAGCTAGCTAATTAGCTGTATCGTATTTAACATACAGTGTAGAGCTTGCTAGTTAGCTGTACTGTGTATAACATAGTGTAGAGCTAGCTAATTAGCTGTATCGTAATTAGCTGTACTGTGTATAACCTCGTGTAGAGCTAGCTACTTCGCTGTATCGGTATTTAACATTACAGTTGTAGAGCTAGCTAGTTAGCTGTATGTGTATAACCTAGTGTTAGAGCTAGCAATCGTGTCTCGTATTTACCATACATTTGTAGCGATCTAGCTAGTTAGCTGTATTGTGTATAACATACATGTAGCCATGTAATGACTATACTGGTCTATGGTGTACAATTGCAGCTATCAAAGTAAGTAGTCTATGTATGGAAGCTTCTGCTAAAGTTAAATTTTTTTTAAATATAGAGACACGTTCCGAATGGACCCGAGGACAACTAGACCCGGTTCGATCCGAGTGAGGGAAGCAGCAGAAAATAATTGTTTTAAGCTACTTTATTAAATCGGAGCTGATAAGGCCCGAGAGGAGGGAGAGAGAGGTGGCGCTCTAGTAGGCGGGGGAGGGGCCATACTGTGAGGGAGTGACACCCCCCCGCCCCCAAGACATCTTCATGTTCATGCTTGTGACACTTCTGAATGTGGGTCAAGAGTTCTCGCCCCCGCCTCCCGGAGACCTCCTTGCAAGCTAGCAGGAGCGACACCGGTAGACAGTGTCCTTCGGCCCCACCTGCCAAACACCTGCACTCACCGTCATTAAAGAGAACTGTTGGAAAACAGTGCCCGACAGGCCGGGGCGAAGGACACTGTCTACCGGTCACCCCCGCTAGCACAGCAGGTGGGAGGCTGGTGCGACACCATGTGCTAGCTAATTAGCTAGCTTGTTAGTTAGCTACCACACTGTGTCGCCCCGCCTGCTGTGTGCCGGAGAAAACTGTGCCTGACAGGCGGGGGTGAAGGACACTGTCTACCGGTGATGCCCCCACCTACCGCTAGCACAGCAGGCGGGAGGCTGGGGCGACACAGTGTGTTAGCTAGCTTGCTAGTTAGGGACACCGTGTGCGAGCTAGCATGCTAGTTAGCTAGCTAGCACACCTTGTCACCCCTCCAACCGCCTGCTGTGTACTGGACTAGCTGACTAAGTTAGCACACAGTGTCCTTCGCTCCCGCCTGCCGAACACCTGCCCTCGCCGTCGTTAACAGAACTGTGGGAAAACAGTGCCCGACAGGCAGGGGCGAAGGACACGGTCTACCGGTGTACGGTTAGCTAGCAACCGTTGTCGCCGCCACCCCTTCTTCTGTGGGGTATATCGGCGGCTGGCATCCAACGTTATTGTGCATTAACGCCACCTACTGTACTGGATCGCCCCATCACCTGCAGATCCTAGCTTAAAAATTGACCAATAGATGTATAGAGGGGTTCCTGCAGATGCAGGAATACCCACATGCAGGCCGCAATTGCACCAACCAAGCTGACTCGCGCTACAGTAGACTAATAGCTGCCTTGGTTATTTATCATCAAATATGATTACGTGGTGCCTGTCTTGACTGCATCAAACCGGGAGAAGCTAGTTAAGCTAGCTAACGTTAGCTAGCTGGGCTAATTGAGGCTGCAGTGCATGCGCTTTCTCATCCTACGGTTACAAATAACTCCATTCAGAATACCTGTTGGCTCTTGGTCGTTGAAGCCTATCCTACTCCTTTAACTTTTAATTCCATCATTTTAAAGCTGCAATGTACATTTTGAGTGAAATGTGAATAATAGATCTGTCATTCTCATTAAAAGCAAGTCTAAGAAGCGGTAGATCTGTTCTATATGCGCTATTTCTATGCTTCCCGTTCTTACGTTTTGTTTTTGCGTCTTTTACTTTTGATTTTGTACACCAGCTTCAAAATACAATATTTTTGGTTATGGAAAATATATTTCACAGCGGTTTAGATGGTATAATGATTCCCTACACTACACTTGCTTGTTTAGTCACAAACTGAAATTAGGCGAACTATTCAACTTTTTACAACCAGGAAATGGCGGAGAGATTTCTGCATAGTGCATCTTTAATTCCATCTTCCATTGATTAGATATCTCTTAACTTTTGCCACACATGTAGGCTCAATGACTGTAGCATATTGCCGCTTTGATGACTTACGATTGGCCATCAACAAGCGACATGCGCCACTCTTGTGAAAAGCAAGAACAGCAGCATAAATTATACAATTTCTCTCTATGGATCTGTATGGGCCCTTCCAGACAAGCCAGTTAAAACGACACATAACCCATACCCGTGACCATCATATCAGATCCGACCCAGACCCGTGACAATATTTAGAAATCTGGGTCCCGGATCGGATCTCGTGAAGACCACTAATTGGCACAGGACAGAGGCAGGGTTTCTAGCTACATCTTCATCTACACCCACTAACGTTACTCACCTGAGCATAGCCTGTCTACTTTGAGCCTGGCGTTGTAGATGGCTGTGACCTGCTGGGTCAGGGTTTCCAACGGGACGTCGACTGACGTACTGAACAGGAACTGGCTCTCGTCACCGCGCTTCACGTGCAGCTGCACCATTCTCTGCAATGATGTCAAAGTATTAGCTAGTTAGCTAGCCAGTTGTGAACCCGAAAACTATTATATCAAGTTGCTAGCTAACTAGACAGATCGTATAGAGGCGGTAGGTAACGTTGGCTAAGTCAGCTGGCTGACAAGTCTAAAAAGTTGTAGCTATCTAGCTAGAAAGCTCCATCAGAAATTAAGTTACCATAGCAACTGAACACCAACTTCCCTGTGTTGATAGCTAACTAGCTGGAAAACAACTTGAGCGTCAACTTTTATTTTTTAGCTACATACAAATAGCCAACATTTACAGACAAATTAATATTGTGACGTGGACAAGACTTAATTTGATAAGACAACAATTGACAAAAACCTACCGTTGTGGAAAAGGTAGCGTCAGGAAGGACACAAAATAGTGGAGTACCAGAGGTGTCGCAGCATTCAATCACACAGTTTCTAAACGCAGCATCGCGAGACATCCGGGAACCTTGGAACCAAGCAGACCAGGCCAGAGATAATTTTGAAGAGATGGAAAACTTAATCGGAATCGTATTACCGCCAATTGTGTACATTTTAGTAATTTAGCAGACGCTCTTATCCAGAGCGACTTACAGTTAGTGAGTGCATACATGTTTTATTTTTTTCATACTGGCCCCCCGTGGGAATCGAACCCACAACCCTGGCGTTGCAAACGCCATGCTCTACCAACTGAGCTACATCCCTGCCGGCCATTCCCTCCCCTACCCTGGACGACGCTGGGCCAATTGTGCGCCACCCCATGGGTCTCCCGGTCGCGGCCGGCTACGATAGAGCCTGGATTCGAACCAGGATCTCTAGTGGCACAGCTCGCACTGCGATGCAGTGCCTTAGACCACTGCGCCACTCGGGAGTGTACGTTGCCCATGTTACGTCAATGAGCCGCGCGGTGCATTCTGGGTGATTCTGGGACAAGGAGAGCTCTCCTTCAAGGAGTGAATGGGAGTCAATTGGGCGCTAGCTCCAAAAACCCATCATTAGCATGAACTTCGTCAGCAAGAAGTACAACATTACAAACCTTTTTCCAAGATATGAGATAATCAACTTTCTATCTGTATTACTGTATAGCTTTGGAATCGTGACATTACGTACTTTCGAGGAAAATAGGCACATTTTTGCGTGACGATTATCTTAGCAACTAAGTGACGCAGCATGACACCGTGAACGCGATTGGTCGACAGTCTGTTGGCTGGGGCGTTGTACATTGCTCAATGGGATTCCGATATCCTCCTTTCTCTAAAAATATCTCTGACCAGCCTGAGGTTTGGGGTTTCAGAAGTGAATTATTTTTCCTTAGTTGTTAATTTCCTCGATATCTAAAGGCACAACCGTTAGACCCGTTTTTCTGTAAGGCAATGAAGACTCTCTATACGAATGATAACAGCTCTATCAAACTTGAAACATGGCACCTCACCTAGATTTGAGTCAAAGAGAGGAATTAGGCAAAGTTGCCCTAGCTCACCATGTCTGTTTTTATTAATCACACATAAGTATTCAGACCCTTTGCTATGAGCCTCGAAATTGAGCTCAGGTGCATCCTGTTCCATTGATCATCCTTGAGATGTTTCTAAAACTTGATTGCAGTCCACCTGTGATCAATTCAATTGATTGGACATCATTTGGAAAGGTACACACCTGTCTATATAAGGTCCCACAGTTGACAGTGCATGTCAGAGCAAAAAGCAAGCCATGAGGTCGAAGGAATTGTCCGTAGAGCTCCGAGACAGGAATGTGTCGAGGCACAGATCTGGGGAAGGATACCAAAACATTCTGCAGTATTGAAGGTCCCCAAGAACACAGTGGCCTCTTATCATTCTTAAATGGAAGAAGTTTGGAACCACCAAGACTCTTCCTAGAGCTGGTCGCCCGGCCAAACTGAGCAATCGGGGGAGAAGGGCCTTGGTCAGGGAGGTGACCAAGAACCCGATGGTCACACTGACAGATTTCCTCTGTGGAGATGGGAGAACCTTCCAGAAGGATAACCATCTCTGCAGCACTCCTCCAATCAAGCCTTTATGGTAGAGTAGCCAGACAGAAGCCACTCCTCAGTAAAAGGCACATGACAGCCCACTTGGAGTTTGCCAAAAGGCACCTAAAGACTCTCAGACCATGAGAAACAAGATTCTCTGGTCTGATGAAACCAAGATTGAACTCTTTGGCCTGAATGCCAAGTGTCACGTCTGGAGGAAACCTGGCACCATCCCTACGGTGAAGCATGGTGGTGGCAGCATCATGATGTGGGGATGTTTTTCAGCGGCAGGGACTGGGAAACTAGTCAGGATTGAGGGAAAGATGAACAGAGCAAAGTACAGAGAGATCCTTGATGAAATCCTGCTCCAGAGCGCTCAGGACCTCAGACTGGGGCGAAGGTTCAACTTCCAACAGGAGAACGACCCTAAGCACACAGCCAAGACAACGCAGGAGTGGCTTCAGGACAAGTCTCTGAATGTCCTTGAGTGGCCCAGCCAGAGTCCGGACTTGAACTCGATCTAACAGTTCTGGAGAGACCTGAAAATAGCTGTGCAGCGACGCTCCCCATCCAACCTGACAGAGCTTGAGAGGATCTGCAGAGAAGAATGGGAGAAACTCCCAAAATACAGGTGTGCCAAGCTTGTAGTGTCACACCCAAGAAGACTCAAGGCTGTAATCGCTGCTAAAGGTGCTTCAACAAAGTACTGAGTAAAGGGTCTGAACACTTACGTAAATGTCATTTTTCAGTGTTTTATTTTTAATACATTTGCCCAAATTTCTAAAAACCTGTTTTTTGTTTTGTCATTATGGGGTGTTGTGTGTATATTGATGAGGGGGGAAAAAAAACAATTTAATCCATTTTAGAATAAGGCTGTAACGTAAATGTGGAAAAAGTCAAGGGGTCTGAATACTTTCCGAATGCACTGTATCTTTAAAAGAGTCCTAATAACCAAGGCTATCTTTATATCTTGACGGTAAAATAAGCAAAGAGACCAAATGCTTTTCAACTTTCTGTGGAGAAACCGTACCCATTAAATTAGGAAAACTGTTGTGATGAACACTTATGAGTATGGTGGGCTGAATTTTCTGAACTTTACTACCTTAAATAATACTTTTTAAGATCAATTGGATTAAACAATTCCTAAGAAGACCCACTACTATGTGGAACTTTATTCCTCATCATGTCTTCTCTACTGTTGGTGGCCTTATCTTCATGTTGGTTTGCGATTATAATAATCGGCAGGTTTTCTTGTCATGGTCCCTAATTTATAAGCATAATTTTTCTCCACACAGATATTATATATGGAATAATCGGGACATATTGTATAAAAATACTTATTTGTTTTTCGAATATTGGTTCCGAAATAATATCCTATTGGTGAGCCAACTTGTAAATGCAGAGGGTATTTTATTTAATTATAAGGAATTTGTATCACTTTACAAGATCCCTATAACACCTAAAGATTTTGCATGAAGTGCTTTGAAATACTGGTCATGGCTCACAACACCATCATCCCGGTAACCCTAGATCCACTCCAGTTCGCCTACCGCCCCAACAGATCCACAGATGACGCAATCCCAATCGCACTCCACACTGCCCTTTCCCACCTGGACAAAAGGAACACCTATGTGAGAATGCTATTCATTGACTACAGCTCAGCGTTCAACACCATAGTGCCCACGAAGCTCATCACTAAGCTAAAGACCCTGGGACTAAACACCTCCCTCTGCAACTGGATCCTGGACTTGCTGACGGGCTGCCCCCAGGTGATAAGGTTAGGCAACAACACATCTGCCAACACCGGGGCCCCTCAGGGGTGCGTGCTTAGTCTCCTCCTGTACTCCCTGTTCACCAATGACTGCGTGGCCAAGCACGACTCCAACACCATCATTACATTTGCTGATGACACAACAGTGGTAGGCCTGATCACCAACAATGATGAGACAGCCTATAGGGAGGAGGTCAGAGACCTGGCCGTGTGGTGCCAGGACAACAACCTCTCCCTCAACATGATCAAGACAAAGGAGCTGATCGTTGACTACAGGAAAAGGAGGGCCGAGCACGCCCCCATTCTCATCGACGGGGCTGTAGTGGAGTGGATCGAGAGTTTCAAGTTCCTTGGTGTCCACATCACTAACAAACTATCATGGTCCAAACACACCAAGACAGTCGTGAAGAGGGCACGACAACGCCTTTTCCCCCTCAGGAGACTGAAAATATTTGGCATGGGTCCCCAGATCCTCAAAAGGTTCTACAGCTGCACCATCGAGAGCATCCTGACCGGTTGCATCAATGCCTGGTATGGCAACTGCTCGGCATCCGACCGTAAGGCGCTACAGAGGGTAGTGCGTACGGCCCAGTACTTCACTGGGGCCAAGCTTCCTGCCATCCAGGACCTATATACTAGGCGGTGTCAGAGGAAGGCCCAAAAAATTGTCAAATACTCCAGTCACCCAAGTCATAGACCAGGACTGCCCAACCCTGTTCCTGGAGAGCTACCATCCTGTAGGTTTTCGTTCCAACCCTAATCCAGCACACCTGATTCTAATAATTAGCATGTTGATAAGATGAATCAGGTTAGTAACACCTGGGGTTGGAGCGAAAACCTACAGGAGGGTAGCTCTCCAGGAACAGGGTTGGAGTTAAAACCTACAGGAGGGTAGCTCTCCAGGAACAGGGTTGGAGTGAAAACCTACAGGAGGGCAGCTCTGCAGGAACAGGGTTGGAGTTAAAACCTACAGGAGGGTATCTCTCCAGGAACAGGGTTGGAGTGAAAACCTACAGGAGGGTAGCTCTCCAGGAACAGGGTTGGAGTTAAAACCTACAGGAGGGTAGCTCTGCAGGAACAGGGTTGGACAGTCCTGTCATAGACTGTTCTCTCTGCTACCGCACGGCAAGCGGTACCGGAGCGCCAAGTCTAGGTCCAAAAGGCTCCTTAACAGCTTCTACCCCCAAGCCATAAGACTACTGAACAATTAATCAAACGTCTACCCGGACTATTTATTATTCGTTATTACCTTGACTAACCTGTACCCCACACATTGACTCGGTACCGGTACCCCCTGTATATAGCCTCTCTACTGTATATAGCCTCTCTACTGTATATAGCCTCGTTATTGTTATGTAATTTTATTGTTACTTTTTATTTTTTATTTTATTTAGTAAATATTTTCTTAACTCTTTCTTGAACTGCAGTGTTGGTTAAGGGCTTGTAATAAGCTTTTCACAGTAAGGTCTACACCCGTTGTATTCGGCGCATGTGACAAATAACATTTTATCAAATTTTATTTGATTGGATTCTTTACCTACGATAGGAATAAGTTGAAACAATTTTATGTAATTAATGTCATTATTCCTTTGGCCAAATTTCATATTCACAAACAAAACACCAGATTTTCTTACCTTACAAAA